TTATGTTGGGTTTTTTTTTCCCTTTTTTTTTTTTTTTTTGCACAGTTTATAAGTGTTTTTATAAAATGAAAATAAAAATGAAAAGGAAAAAAAAATATCCAGTCAGATTAAAAGTAACATGCCCAGTCGCTTTTGACATAGTGCCTCTCTTGGGGAAATCAGTTATTATCATTTTCTGCAAAATGGTATGCTTTGGATATGTTGGACTGTCAGTCCCATCATTTACGGTCAATATGATCCAATGAAATGTTGCAATGAATTGCTGTTTAAAATTAACATAAGATGCAAAGCAAGGAACTGGAGTTATTGTCTAGATTCATACACTATGCTATATCATAATGTGGTTTATGCTGTTACTGCAATATTTGAACCAGATCAGTTGGTTTATTCAATAAATCAGGTTTAAAAAATCCTGATGTTGTATGTTTGTAAAAATAATATGTTGGATATAAATAAAAAACAAACAAATAAAGCATGATAGTGAAGATTCTGATTGAAAAATGTCATATTAACCTGAAAGCATCCATGTTCTTACACTCACAATTCTTAAGGTAAAATGAAAACAGATGGGGAAAAATGCATACTATGTTGTGGACACAGATACCAAGATAATAAAAGTTTACAAAACAACAAAGCTGGAGAGAGAACATATATTTAGTTAATAAACTTTCCTGTCTATCTTTTCAGTTACAAGCATAAATTGAAATGATTTACCAGTTAAATTTAACAATAGTTCTCTGACAATAAATTTATTTTAAAAAAACATCTCTCTTTCCACCTTGTTTCAAGAATTTCAGATACTGCCGCACATTTCTACTTGTCCATTTTATCTTGCATGTGGATTAGGTAAACAATGTGGTCTCAAGTTGCCCAAAGAGCTATATGAATCAGGATGCCTTTATTATACACAGCACTTATTGTTTTTAATATAGCAGCGTACACAGTATACAGACTTCAAAAATTATTCAGAAGCATAGATAGATGCAAAATGATGTAATGAGTTCAACTTATTAAAACAGTGGTTTTAGACTCATTTACAAACTTGCAAAAATATACAGCTGCCCTAAAGAAGTGCCACGCTTGTGATCAAAAATATTTTTTCCAAATAATGTTAAAAATTTAGAGTAGACCTTATCCAGGTAGGATAACAAAGCTAATAATGTTAACAATGATCTGTTACTACTATATTTTCAAAAGTGAAGTTCTTTATTAGTGCCATTCAGAGCAAATTGGAAAATCTGACTTTTATTCTTACTGTTAGCACTGCACTCTAACACTGAGGTTATTTTTATTTGCAGATTAATAAAACAGCAATATATTACATTTTAATAGTGCCTTATTTTAATAAGCCATAGTTAAAATTAAATTCTGGGCAGACCTAATGCTATTAAGACAAAAATCTCCATGTGCCTTTTCTGAAGGAAAAAGGGTGAGAACTGCATGGATTGGTTTTCATGATGCATTTTGTTTTGTTTTTTTCAAAATATACTGTTAGTACAATAGGAGAGGGAAAGTAGGATAGAGAAGAGAAGGATCACACTTAAGAATGTGGCACCATCAAAGCTGACACTAGCCAGAGCATAGAACAACTCAAAGAAGTAGTGCAAGATGAGAAGATATGGAGACACTTGGCCCATAGAATCGCCAAGAGTCATACACAACTGAATGGAAAACATCAGCAGCAGCAGCATGGAATAAGTTCTTACATTTAAACCTTGGGTAAACATGGCTTTATTGCACACTGCAGGTACTGTAGTCACTTTCACCATAGAAAGCAATTTAGGAAGTGGAATAAACTCAGTGGTTTTAAAAGCATTGGAAACTTCTGGCTGAGCTTCATAGATCTGAAATTAAAAACACAAAACATGTACATACAAATAAATATATAATATAGATACCCAAACCTAAGTGATGCAATAGTAGCTTTAGTCAATTCAGCTAGATCCATGGTAGTCTATAAATGTTCAATTGCACATGAAAAGAAAAAATGGAGAACTGAAAACACTGGCAGGAGAGATCATTACTGAAACAGGAAAACTTACTAATTAGGGACACACACTTTTCACTTTTCAAGTATAGCATTTGAATCCCATGTTTGCAGATCTTGCTGAAAAACAATATTCAGCAACTTCTGAAACACGGGATTCAAATGCTATACTTCCCTTGCATTAAAAACCAACTTAGGTCTACATGCCAGAACAAAAGTAATCATCAGCAAAAATAGGCCTCAGCACAGAACATAAATGGGTTTTCTTGCCACTGTAACATACCACAACAGTATATTGCTGGTTTTGCTACTTGGTATGTTAGAAGTTTATAGCAATAGCATTTATGCTGATATACTGCCCCATAGCACTTTACAGCCCTCTCTAAGTGGTTTACAATGTCAGCATAGTGTCCTCAGAAACATGAGTCCACCTTTTACAGACCTCAACAGGATGGAAGGCTGAGTCAATCTTTATGGCTTTTACTATGGTGTTTAGTGATTTTTGTCATAAGGCACTTCTGTCTGAGCCATACAAATATGACATTTGATCAAGAATCTCTCTATATACTGCATATATATTCTCTGATGATCAGCAGTAAGCGGAAGCACAGAAGACAAGATAAAGAGAACAAAACCCTAGAACCCCTCAATGTTTTTAGGCATACTAAAAATAAATTGGAGGAAGGGGGACAGGGGAGAGGAATTAGAGATATATGAATCCTTTTCTATTAACTCTACTCTCCTTTGATTTTCAAGATTTTTCTTAAATCATTGTCACCTTTTGAAGAACAGAGAAGGATCTGTTAATGATCTTTCCCAAACATTCTCCATCATCTTGCTCCATCCACTTTCCTATATCTGTTCCCCACGAACCACTCTCACATAAAATTATAGCAACTAATAGCAACTAATAGCAACTAATATCCACCAAGCTGGTAGGATACACAAGGAAAGGTTGATCTATTATCTTTCAGGCTGGCTACATTTTCCACAAATAACTAGTGATAACTAGTAGCACCAAATAACACACTACTAAGCTAATCTTTAGTTAAAAGGCTTACCAGCAATTCAATCTATAGAGGGGATCTGGTACAATGATATAAGAATTCAATAAACACAGGGAAAGACAAGGAATTGCTTTTATAATTAATTTATAAAACTCAGCAGATGCTGTACTATATTTGAGGGAGCTCACTTATTAAATCATATGAAGCCTATATTATACCAATTGCACTGGCATTTCCAAGCCAAACTGATATTTTAATAGGTTGAATACATGATTACTGGATATGACTTTGATAATTTGATCGGAGGTATGAATGGCACTGACTTAGAGACACCTCTTTTTCCCCTTTCAAAATAAAGCAAAAGCTAAAGGAGTAAGTTTGCAAACTTATAGATGTACTGTGATTTGCTACGTGGGAGAGGAGAAACCTCAATGAATTCACTAATATTTTTTCCAGGCAGAAATTTATATAACTAGACTATAAATGCCATATTTTTCAGACTATAAGACGCTCCGTAAGACACACCTAACTTTGGGGAGGAAAACAAGGGAAATAATCTGTCTCTGGCCAGCATCCATCTGGTATTCATCTGGGCCATTTGCCGCCACAGCCCATTTGCCGCTACAGCCTGTTTGCCGCTACGGCCTGTTCACCACCACCACCACAGCTCGTTCTGGAACAGTTGATTGGCGCTGCAGGAACCCCCTTACTCCTCCACCCACCCCCGCCGTAATATTCATTGTATAAGATGCACAGACATTTCTCCCACTTTTTTGGGGGGTGGAAAAGCACATCTTATACTCCGAAAAATACGGTAATCCCAAAGAATTAGGAAATACAGATCTTTTACATTTGCATTTTGATCACAATATTAATTTGCATATTTGAAACTTATACAAGCTTACAATCCACTTCTGCATTATTTATTAATTATATTTTTATCCTGCCTTTATTACTTTTATAAGTAACTCCAGGAGGTGAACATACATAATATTCCTTCATCCACCTATTTTCCCACAATAACAACCCTGTGAGGTTAGACTAAAAGAGTGATTCTAATTTGATTTGAACTTACTCAAATTAAGCTACATTTGTTTCAATATAGCCTTTCTTTCTGATTCTGTCCACATAAATAATATAAGAATTTTTTAAAATAATTCTTACCTGTGAGACCTGCAGTCATATAAAATCTGCAGATCAGATATTATTTAGAAGAGGGGGTAGAAAAGGAGATTTTTACAAGTTGAGTTTGTGAGATTTTAAAATTATACTGTATCTAAATAATATACTTCTGAATTACTTTGCCCTCAATTATTTGATATAATATATGCAGGATAGATAGCCAGTTTGGTCTAGTACAGTGGTTCCCAAACCTTTTCAGTTCACCACCCCCTTGGTGCTACAAACTGATCCTCAGTGCCCCCCACCCAGTGGTGGAATTCAAATTTTTTTCTACTCTTTCTGTGGGCGTGGCTGGGGGTCATGTGACTGGGCTGTTTGCACGATGGAAGGAAGATAGTAACAGTAAAATTCAAAACTGTAACAATTAATTGCAAATTTATTCAAAATCCAATTTAAAAACCTTTTTAGTTAATGTTAATTCAACAAAATTGTTGAACATGATCCAATGATACCAGGTTTTCAAAGTATGATAGTCATTTATCAAGAACCTCTGACTAGTAACTTAGTAAATGCAGTAAAATTTAGTAACTACTTCACTATTCAGTAAATTCTTAATGTGATGGATGGGCTTGAGGAAGT